CTCCCCCACTAGCAGGGTCACGAATAACATATCGACATGTGCCGACATGTGCTAGTGTTTATAACCTCCCCCACTAGCAGGGTCACGAATAACATGACCACATCGGAGACAAAACAGGCAGAAGTTTACAGGAAAATCACAATTCACAATCACTTTCAGATCATCATGACAGTCACTTAAATTTCAAGTAGGCATGCTCAATTTAATGAAAAGCATAAAACATTTCACTTCAAATCAGTCACACTTGTGTAAAACGGGTTTAGTCCCGCCACCACTTCAAAACAAATCAAAACATGCTTTTAAAAACAGTACGGGTATTACCATAAATTACTTACCTCACTCGCATAAAACCGAGTACTCAATTCACGCACTAACTGACAGAACGATCGGGAACCTAATCAAAACACCTCAGAATTAATACCGAACTATCACAAATTCAAACTGAAATCATCATTAGGATCATTCCTAATCACAATACTATTTCTATCACTTTCCACATGATCAGACATCTCCAAATTCGTTCTCATATCACAAACTAATCATTTAAATTCCCGCTAAATGTTGGCCCTCGGGGTGTGAACAGTAACCGGTGAACAGTAACCGGTGAACAGTGACCCCGACGTGAATAGTAACTCCACTTCCACAAATTGGCCAAAACACTAGCTAATCTCACGAGATTTTCTCCAAAAATCACATAGCAGTCCATTAACACTCAATCATATAAATTCCACTTGAATCAAGCTAAATCATGGTCTAATTACTATCAATTTCATCCCCATTTTTCTAGCAAAATTCGGACACACAGGGGCAGCCAATAAAGGGACAATTTCAAGCTTAAATGGCTGTCACATACCAGAATTTTCCAGCAAGAACCGGACCTAGCAGGGGGAAGAAGCCGGCGGCAGTGCAAGGGAGAAACTCACGGATCTACCCAAAATTGGAGGAACAAGAGCAATTAAAGGTTAACCCAAGCCAATTCAAGCAAGAACAATTGAAATTAGGGGCTGTTCTTACCGAAAAAAATGCCCAGAAATCACCCACAATCAAGAGCAGCCGGCGGAAGGACAAAGCAGAGCAGGGCAGATCCGGCTTTTCCAGCAGGGGGGAAGATTTCTGGGTTTTAGGTGTGTTCTAGAGCAAGAAAGGAAGGAGAAAACCAAGCTTATCTCACCGGTTTCTCAAGGCTGGTGCCGGCGGCTTGCTTGGGGGAAATTTCGGGCTGCAGCGGGAAGAAAAGCAGAATCGGGTGAGGAAGAAAGAGGAAAAGGAGAAAAAGAAATAAGCCATCCTTATCCAAAATCTTTCCCTCTTTAAGTCCCTCAACTTTCAGAATATTCGCATTATGCCCCAAAACAATCTTTTCTCACAATCAAATCCCTAACTTACACTTAAATATTCCCAAAAATTTGGGATATTACAGTAGGGGTTGATATAATGATTAAAATTCAACAAATAATAGATAGTGGGTAGTGAATAGTGATAGCATATAGCAATTGATGATTAGTAGATAGTGGGTAGTGAATTGTAGAATATGGGTAGTAGATGAGAAATAGTAGATTTCAATTGATATAATTGTTTAATTACACAATTGTTAGTAATTTTTGTTTAATGTTAAATAATTGATATGAACATATTTAAAAAGTAATTAAGTGTATTTTTTTTATATTTTTTATTATTAAAATTATTAATTTTATAAAATAATAATAAATAAATAAATTATAATAGTGTATCACATACTCATTTGTATTTTTAATAAAAAAAATAAAATTTTAATTATTTCATCTAATTAATAAATGTTGCTTATTAAGTTAATATATATTTTTATAATAAAAGAATATAAAAAATAAAAATATAATAATAATTTAATGTTATTAAACAGAAAAAATGAAGTTGAAATTAATTCAATAAGTGTTAATTAAAAATTGTGACAAAAAATTAAAAAATTAAAAAGAAAAAATTTGTCGATAAAATTAAATTCTAATATGTTGATAATTTGGTATAAAAAGTTACCTAAACTATCTTTTCCAATTAATTAATAGTTTGATTCTAATTATTATCTATTAATCTCAAATTATTATATAAAATTTTGTAGCAAATATCTTATTTATCACAAGGTTTAAGTACCATTTTAGTCCCTCAACTTATCATTTTGGCACCAAAATTGTCCCTTAGCTTTAAAAAGTACCAAAATTATCCTTAAACTTTTATTTTTGGTACCAAAATGGTCATTCCATCAGTTAAATGCCAGGTGGCTCGTTAAAATACCACAAAATCACCGGCTTTTTTTTTATTTTTAATGACGTGTAAATCCAGCAACGACATTTTTTACACACACGTCAAATTGTCAATCTTCTCAGTTTCTTTTTTTAGTGGAGCCCACATGAAAATTTTGTTCTCTCTTTTTCCAGTTTCAATCAAGTTCCCCAAAAATCACAAGGTATCTTCGTTTCTCTTTTCATTTCCTTTTCAAATTCAAAACCCTAAACCTACTACTACTCCTGCAAAATTAAAATCAAATATTACCCCAAACCCACCCTCACTCTCCAGCTTCTTCAATGAATTCAGCTCAACAACTCAATACCCCTCTGTTCTGTTCTGTTCTGTTCAGGTTTTTCTCTCTTTGCTTCGAGTCTGTTTTCCGTTTTTTTACCCTGAGAATCAATTCCATGGCTACCGCGCTGGCTACAACTGCGACCGCACAGCCGAACTTCTATTTCGACGAGAAGTGGAAGCTGTTGAAGAAGGAAGGTTCGTCTCGGAGTCGATCTTCAAATTCACCGCTCATGAAGAATGCGTCGTAGCAAAACCACAGCGATTCTTGAAACAAGGACACCAGGGCGGGGAGATCCCATCAGGCAGTGACCATCTCCCGTGAGAGGCTCCATGGCCACCAGATCTGGGAATCCGACGACCATCTTTGGAGATCTGTGTAATGGCTGGTAGCCACCGGATCTGATAACAAACAAGCAAAACAACTAGATAAAACAGAAAAAAAACAAGAAAAAAAGACCACCAGAAGGGTCATCGGAACTGGGAGCACGAAATCGGCTCCATCATGCTTGAGTAACCGGAGAGCGCGGCGGCTCAAGCATCAAAAATCCGGCAAGCCCAAGGGCTGCCGGGCACAAAAAGGTGAGATCTGGGGAAGACGAAAGCAAAGACTGGAGGATTCTAGAGAAGAAAGAGAAAGGAGAGCAGATCTGGGTTTTGATCAAACCCAGATCTGGAGAGGAAGAAGAACAGAAAAGAGAGGAGAGAAAGAATAAGAAAAGTTAAAAAATTGTTACATGGGCCCCATTAAAAGGAAAAGTTAAAAAGGTGATAATATGATGTGTAAAAAATATGCCATGTGTATAAAAAATTTTCTTTGTTGGATTTACACGTAATTAAAATTTAAAAAAGTCAATGATTTTGTGGCATTTTAACGTGCCACCTGTTATTTAACTGATGGAAAGATCATTTTGGTACCAAAAATGAAAGTTTAAGGATAATTTTGATACTTTTTAAAGCTGAGGGATAATTTTGGTACCAAAGTGAAAAGTTGAGGGACTGAAATGGTACTTAAAACTTATAACAATTTAAAAATATATAAATTTCTTAAATATCTATTTTTAACAATTTAGACAAGTGGATCCTAAAATACTAATAAAAATTCTCCATCAATAAAAAAACCTAATTTACCTTAAATACTAATAAAACGGCTAAATTCAATAAATAATCTATTAACTATGTGATTTATTTTAGTTTAGTCTAAAAATAATTTTTTCTTTTAAAATGATCTATAAACTATCAATTTTGTTTCAAAATGATCTACATAGCAAACGGAAAAATTGCCCCTAAACTTTTGAAAAATGTTAAATTTAGTATATATATTTTTGTTTTTTTGCAATATTTTGTTTTTGAAGTTTAAATTCTATGTTAGATATAATAATTAATTAAGATAATCATTTTAATTTACATTGATCAGGATTTTAATAATTTACAATAATTAATATTATAATTTAAATTTTATTATTTCTTAAAAAACATAATATCATTATTAAATTACATATTTTTTCACTACTCTGTATAGAAAAATTAAAAATTTTATTTTTATTTTTAACACTAATAATACATGCATGATTTTAGTTAGGGGATTTATAAAATTGAAATGAATTTTTATTTTTTAAGGTAATTTAATTATATGTAGGTACTCATTTAATTAAGGTTAAACTCCTATTTTGGTCCCTGAACTATTGTACGGAACCTCGATTTGGTCCCTGAACTAAGGAAATCTCTAATTTGGTCCTTGAACTATTGTACGGACCCCTGAGTTGGTCCCTAAACTATTGTACAGATCCCTGAGTTAGTCCCTAAACTATTATACGGATCCCCAATTTGGTCCTTACTGTTTACCAATTTAGCCCCAACTTGGTCCTTCGTTAAATAATAGCTTAGGGACCAAATTGGGGCGTAATTGTAAACAGTAAGGACCAAATTGGGGGTCCGTACAATAGTTCGAGGACCAATTTAGGTCAAATTATAAACAGTGGGACCAAATTGGGGGTCCATACAATAGTTTAGGGACTAAATCAGGGATTTCTTTAGTTCAAGGACCAAATCAAGGGTCCGTACAATAGTTCAGGGACCAAAATGG